TGCCCTTTTTTTTAAGAACAACCTGCTTACTGTTAGTTTCCATTACATTACAGTGTATCTGGTTTCCCTGGAGAACTTATTTCTGTGTGAGGACTCATCTACTAATTTGCAATTATTTATTAAACTTGTTTTTGTTGTTATTTGAGAATAATGTTCTCACAGATAGAGAGGAATGGCATTATTAAGAAAGTTGTCAGCTTATAAATGAAAGGGACCATAACATTAGTGAGAATAAAGGAAAAAGAAAAAAAGAAGAAAAAAAACCCAAACAAACAGTCCCTGTTGTTTTGGTTTCCTTCCATACTATCCACTTCCTTCATATTTGATTTCATCTGCTTCACTGCCACAGTTACGTTCAAAGCTGAATTCCAGTTTTTCCAGGAGCCTTTCCAGAAGGAAATGCATTTTAGGGTCAGGGTTACTGACGAAAAATTACCAAAAAATCAAAGTCAGAAAAAAAAAAAATCACAGAATTGTTGAGGCTGGAAGGGACTACAATCCAGAGACTTAGCTATAGATTAGTTTCCTAGTTTCCTTTTCCACTGCCGATCTGACAATATCTGATAGTGCTTTTGCCAATACTATATGTGTTCCTGCAAGCAAAGGTCTAATAGCATGAAGCAGAAGTACTTCAGCCATTTTAAAAACATCTGAAACCAGAATTTAAAAGCATCAAGCCAGGGAAAAAAAAAAATAATCAGAATCCCCTGAATCCACAGCCAAACCCAAATGCATGATATTAATCCTCAATCCAGAAATCGTCCCCTTTCTTCTGCAGACTGTCTACTTGCTTGTTCGTCTAGTGCTTCAGGTCAACAAAATGTCCCACTCATCGACATGAGATATAGCCTTGCATTTCACTCAATTATAACATGGCACCATGTCACACAACGAAATTCTTCCCACTTCTGGGCCAGTCATATTGCATGACTGTGTTCATCTAAGGAAAGTGCTAAATTACTGTCCCCCTGATTTTTTCTATACATCTGTAACTCTATAAATAAAGCAGTGAGTCACTTTGGTATCTCACTGATAAAACACTGAATTTGATTAGTGATCAATATATCTCTTCCTCCATGAATATTGTAATGAAAATATACAAGTATAAATATTTAGATTATTCTGTTTGAAACTGCAGTTAAGCTATTGATGTATTACAAGAAGAACATCAGCAAGGTACTGTATGATTCTGTGATTTTCCCTTCCATTGAAACAGTCAGTTGAGCATAGTAAAAACATAAACTGGTAATACATATATTAGAAGGCTCCTCAGTCTGACAGCAAAGTATCACGGCAACAGCAAAGGAGAATACTGAAGTGGCCTTGTGTCAGATACACTGTTCCCTTTGGTCACACCTTCTGGATTTCCTGGTTTTGCAGTATCTTGTAATACAAATTAAAGCACCTAAATAAGCTCAGTTTAGTCCCCAGTCTGGAAATACTAATAAATCTCTGCCATAAAACACATCAGAGGTACAGAGAAAACACATGTGGCATAGAATACACACACCACACAGTCATTGAGGTATTATAAAGAAATATTTGGCTCAGCAGTTAAATAACATGCAAGTCTGAATGCAAAATTTATATACACCAGACAGTTTGCTCTGGTGTGTGGCAAATCAAATCCAGTTAGTACACCTGTGTTTGTTATAGGTGCCTATTCGTGTCGAAGAGAAACCATAGCCTTTCCCTTTTCCCCACTGAAAAGATCACTCCCTTCTTTTGGGCATAAAAGTGCTGTTGACATAAGAATTACACAGCGCTTAGTAATAATAAGAGTGTCCTACAAGAAAAAAATAAACAAAGATGTCACAGTATCATTTCTACTCTGGAAATCCAAGGGGGGAATTTTCCCACATAACCATTCTATATGAAACCTCTACAAGAAAGGTGCAATCCTCAACTGGTATTTTAGAAGAACTAGAGATACCGACAGCAGTCCCTAACCTGGAATTTAGTTTAATATTTGCTTTTTACAAAAAGTAAAATTCCACTTTGAATCAAAGTTCATAAAAACGGTAAGAGGTACCTCACCTAACACAGTGGAGAGAGATATTGCGAGAGGGGAAGGCTTTGAGTTCTTGACAACTGCATTTGGGCAGTATAAATCTTCCCTGGCTGCCCAGGATGCACTCCAGCACAGTCCCCAGCCCTGGCCCTTAAGTCTGAACATTGTTGGCATGCTGGTTTTGTGATCCTCCAATCTGGGAATCTGCTGAGCATGCCATGACACTCATCTTTAAAAATAAAGAGAATTTGGTACCTAGCCATAAATTAGTCAGTGCCCTTCCACTTTTACAACAGTGGCCTAAACCGTTTGCTTTTCTCAGTGCCAGAAGAGGTCCAGCTAGCACTCCTCTCCATTTATTTACAACAACCCTTACAATTACTCTATTCCATTGCTGTCTACTGCTGGCCCTTTATAATAACATTTATCAGGTTCCAAAAGTGTGTCAAGCGAGGTAACTAATCGCACTTACACCTCTCTCCTGTGTTCTCCCTTCCACTGCCAATTCCAACTTGCAGCAATCTGAATGTAAAAACCTTTACAGAATGCTCTCCTCGGGCAATCAAATCCTTTCACACCTCCATCTGTAATACACGTGGGTGAGAACAAACCATTAAAATAAATATTCAAAATATTTGTTTTGGATAGTGTGTGAAGCATTACTTTCTGGTGTACTCTTACTGGGAATAACAGGAGATATTCTGGATAGGATTAAAAAAAACCCCAAACACACATATTTAAGTGATTTAGGAGCTTACCAGCAAATTGCAGTGAAGTACTACTGCACATCTACTTTCACATTGATTTTGCATGAATAAAGTCTTCTGTGTAACTTTTGATGGTTGCACTCTTAATACCTGTGAGATTGGTACAACTGTGCAGCAAGTTGCAAAGAACTAGGCCAGTATCACAGCTGATCCAGTTTCACACAAACTTGCTCACACTTAGGAGTGTCTAATATCTATCTGCACTAGATAAAGTTATATTTAATCTCCTCCAGATGGAATAACACAGTCTGATGTACAATCATATGCTGCCTTGAGGACACATTTTAGCAGATCCAGGGATATAAACACATTGCTGAGACCAGCTGCTAGAAAACTCCCTGAAGGCTTTAGCCATTCATCAGGCCTGCATTAGTTACAACATTTTCAAGTGTTGCAATGGCATCTGTAACCTTCAGGTTACAATGTAAAGAGATGTCCGCTGATTTGACTTTCAGGCAAAGCTCAAATCCACTGTCTTTGAGTTTTAATTGTCCTGATTATAATATGTTTTGGTCCTCTGCTTTCTTCAAATATTTAAGTCAATAGAATTTTGCTTTGTTCTCAGGATGTAAAGCTGTAGCCTGATTTTACCATGCATGCATTTCACTGTGCTTTTAGCCAGAAAACATTTGTACATCAAGATTTCACTCAGTGAAATTATGTTCCCTTTTCTCTTTTGTGCCCAAACAGAAACTGAAAAAAAAAAAAAAAAAAAAGGAAAAAAGTGTACATAAATACAATGTTTTGGCTTCTGTTTTCTGTGGTTAAAAGTTTTGAAGGTTTCTCAGTTCTTTTTTTTTGGCTTCTTACATATCAAGACAACTTGAGAAGATAGGTTCACATAACTGTAGCAAAATACAGTGCTCACATTCTTAGTGTAGGGGCAATTTCTGACAGATGTATGCCAGGACTTTCAAATAAACAGTATGCATGCAGATAATGAATCTGCAACACTCAAGAATGTAAAAAAAGCAACTTGCAAAAAATTAATGCATAGCAAGAGACCTGTTGGTTCAGTGCTGCTAATTCTTAACTCTTCCCCTTTCCCACTTCAGAGAGAAAAGAGGCAGGAAAGAGGCATGCTGGGTTAGGAACGTAGATCTGAGTGTCATAGTTAAAACTGTACACAGAAACCTGCTCCATAAAACAGGTAACAGTCCACTCAAATACTCCCTTTTTTCTGCTGCTAGGCTCACCTTTCTGCATGTTATGACACTATGGGCATATTCCACCCAAGCAGTAACCTCTAGTGCTAAGGAGTACAACTAGTACAGAACAGTTCCAGAGTGGATAACATATGTTCATTTGAACAAAAATGTCACATGCAAGAAACAAAATAGCTAGTCTATGTACTTAGAAGTAAAGAACGGTCAAGGAGTAGATCCAAATATATCACTCAGTTTTAGGTATTATGAACATGCAAAAAGGACCAGCAGGTTTGTTCCAAAATGGTTTTCAACTGATGATCAGCTATAGCAAACAAACCTTGCAGTACAAAGTTTACACTCAAACATCTGAGAACTGTCCATCATCATCCTGCTTCACACAAATACTACAGTAATTGGAAGTCACTTTTTTATTACAGTACCGGCAAGTCATACAACCAACCCAATGACAGAGCAGGGAAATTTGACATCACCTCCAATCCAAAACAATACCTCCTGGCAGTTGAGCTTCCTAACATGCATACAGGAGAATGCTAAAGCATTTCTAGAAATGGAAGTTTTCCCTGAGTTTACAAAACAATTATTTCCCTTATGCACTGGTCCAGTGACATTTTGGTGCTTAAACAAATTGTGCTTCATCATTAGCATTTTACAAAGAGAAAATATAGCTAACTAATTACAAAGCATCTATGCACACACAATACAAAATTACAAGCCTGCACAGCCCACCTCATGACCACTAAAGCTCAATAACAAACTAACAAATCTGCAAGTCATTTATCTGTGCACTCCCATGGAACAGATTGACTGTCCTTTTTCAGTTTGCTAAAACTGGAACCATCAGTGTACTGACTCTTAATATAAACTATCTCCTATTTAATCAGGGAAACACAAACGAAGTAGAAATGAAACCAACCAACATCTGCCACCAGGAAGAAGGGAATCAAATACCGTCCTAAAATGAAGATTTCCACGGCAACAGCTAATTTATTTGCTAACCCCAGCATTGATTCATGCGGCCTCTGTTGCAATCACTGATGTGTGTGAAACACTAACCTTCATCACTTCAACTTGCAGGTCTTCATTGAGTGAAGGAGTCACTTTGACGGCATTCAGCATCTGATTAAGCAACTGTTTCTCATCTGAGTCTGTTTCCACGGATACAAACCTCTCATCAGACAGCAGCTTCTGCAGAGAGAAAATGGCAATGTACAGGTTGAGACAAAATTGCTCAATTCTTCTGTAAACTACTGCAACTAACTTATTAGTGCTTGGTACTACAGAGGTTAGGTTTTTTACGTAAAAATTTTAAATGGTGCCAATAATATAAAATGCAAAAATACAGCAAAACTGGGAAACACGTGCCATGAAGCAGGGGGGGAGTCAACATCTTTTGAGTCAGCTGCCATTCCAGTATCGTCTTTCCCCATTCTATTTCACCAGTGTCCAGAAGAAAGTGGACATCAGTAACTGATAAATCACTGCAAGTAATGCCCTCAGCAAAACATCTCAACATTTTGGAAGTGGGGAGAGAGTGGAACCTTTGCAGCTCCCCAAACCTAAAAACAACAAAAAGCCCCACTCAGGCTACTATTCTGACATCAAACTAGTGCTATCAGATCCCCTGCCCAGCAGGTGACAGAGTCACCTATTGTCCCAATCATTCCAATAGGGTACAAGGTAAAGCACAGTGAAGGTGGCACTTCTGATCACGAACAAGATGTGTTTTGCATCATTCAGAAGTTGATTAATAATGGATACAATCAAGTTCTCAGAAGGAAGGATACTGTGAGCAAGTGACTAACACAAACATACACAGGAGTGTGTTCAGTACAGACTGAATGAACTTCTGACTGAATATTTTAGACTGATCAGATTTGCTTTGCCTTGAAAAAGCCAGTATCTGAGCAACTATCAGCATGGTCAGTGGCACTACTTCCTTGGAGTTCTACTAGAAATGCTTCTTCTATTTAGTCTATAACCACCTTCATGGGTGCCTCAGTAGTGGCAGGCATCCTGCAGTAGACATACCCACTCAAGTTTTTTCTCAGTTCCCATGTTCTTAGAAACTCCCATGACAGAGCAAAACTACCTTGTCTTAGATCCCAGGAACACAACCTCGCTGTGTCCCAGTGCAGACTTCGTGAAGCCCACTTTACCCTGTACATTTTGCAGGACTTTTGTACTGATGCTCCTTTTCAGCTTCAACTCTGTAGCACATTTCACTGGTTCATTCCTTCTTACTTTCTATGCTTGTACTGGTTTTGGCTGGAATAGTTAATTTTCTTCATAGGATCTCACAGAGTGCTCTTCTGAATATGTGACCAAAACAGCATTAATAGCAAAACATGAGTGTGTTATCAATGAGCAGAACTTAGACAGTATCAAGGCCTTCTGTTTCTCAGACTGGCTGCCCAGGAAGTAGGCTGGGAGTGCAGAAGAGTTTGGCAGGGGATACAGCTGGGACAGCTGACCCCAACGTGACCAAAGGGATATCCCATACCATATGACACCGTGCTCAGCAACAACACCTGGAGAAAAAAGGAGGAAGTGGAGAAGACAAGGACATTCAGAGTTATGGCATTTGTCTTATGAAGTAACTACGAGGCTTAGTGAAGCCCTGCTTTCCTGGAGATGGCTGAACACCTGCTGGTTCATGGGAAGAAGTTAATTAATTCCATATAGGCTTTTGGTTGTGCATGCCACTTTGCTTTCCCTATTAAACTTCATCTTAGCTCACAAGTTCTCTCACTTTTTGCTTTTTGATTCTCTCTCCTATTCCCCTGCAAGGGAGAGAGTGAGTGGCTGGGTCTGGAACTGTCAGCCACAGCTAACCCACAACAATGTTTTAAAGAATTTCCCACATATCAGTACATCAAGTGTTTTAGCACTGTACTGCCTCATGAGATTTAACTCAAACTGCAGTGAAAATAATTGGGGTTTTTATATAAAGGAGAATGCTTAGTTCAGTATGGGAAATACGGAGTTATTGGAGAGAGTCCAGGGAAGGGTTGCTAAGATGACAAAGGAGTTGGAGCGTCTCTCTTATGAGGAAAGGCTGAGAGTTGGAACTCTTTAGCCTGGAGAAGGCTCAAAGAGGATGTAATCACCATATATAAATATCTGAAGGAGGGTTGCAAAGAGAACAGAATAGGATATTCTCAGTGGTGTCCAGTGACAGGACAAGAAGCTATGGGCACAAACTGGAACACAGAAGGTTCCCTCCAAACATCAGGAAACAATTTACTAAAAGGGTGATCAAGCACAGGCTGCTCAGTGGGGTTGTGGAGTCTCCATCCCTGGAGACATTCAAAAGCCATGTGGACAGAAACCTGGGCAACAGCTCTAGGTGACCCTATCTGAGCAGTAGAATTGAACCAGATGACTTCCAGAGGTCCCTGCTAACTTCCACTATCCTGTGACCTACCTGGGTAAATTTAAGTTGTACTTAATCTCATTTTTGTCTTTTATCCTATTTTTTAACGTATCTCCCTATCATCAGTTGTGTGGTTTGCTTTTCTGCCCTTCATAAAACTTTACGTATCATAAATGCAGATGAAGGACTGTATTGTTGCCTGGATTACCTTTATAGGCTTCTAGATAGGAGGTAACATTCTTATTTAACTGTTACCATACTGAAAATTCGCAGCTTTGCAGTTCCAGTTCTTACAGAACTCAAGTGTTACATGTAGCAATTTAGAAGACTAAAAAGATGAAATTTATCCTCACTGAGCGTTCCCAAGGAAGTTACACTACAACATACAGTGGGTCACTCGTAATTCTTCCACTATTCTTTGCTGATCATGAGTTTGCAAAGCTCTTCTAGCAGGCATACCCACACCAGTACAACAGACATATTTTTATTTAAGTCCCACTTTTCACTTTAAAAGCAACCTCCATTCCCTACTTGTCATATAGCTGAAACGCAGGGCACAGGATGTCAGAGTGGGACCAGAGTACTACGCTGCAAGAAGGTGATATATGTCTTCTGGAAAAGCCAATAATTACCAAAACCCTTAAAAAACCACCATTTTCCTTAGCCAGAGCCTTCTAGAACCACTACAACCATTTTGTGCCCCAATATGGGGCACAGTCTAACCAAATATCTGACACTTTATATGCTGGATTAAATGAATTTGAGCAATCCACTTACATCCTTATACTCACTTCCAATCAACAAAAGCAGCAAGTCTTGACTCAGCTTAGTTTCTTAAGATGCTTAACAGTGGCAGAGACTAGCACAGGGACACGCAAGGAAGAGTACATCTACATTTCAAAGTTAAAATCCAGGAACTCCTACCTATCTGCAAACATTTTTAGCTTCAGCCCTTACTTGCATCCTAACTTCTGAACACCATTACAGAAACACAAACATTACTGTTAGATCAACATGAGGATAGACACCTTTTCTGTGCTATTTTTCAAGAGAAAAGTCTAGCTTTCCTTAACACCCACTGCCTGTCAACACACCCCCACTCTAAAGCCATACCTGCATCCCTGCTAGAGCCTGTTGGGCCAGCTTCATGCTCTTGGATTCCAGAGCCAGTTGAAGAGGAAGAAGACACTTCTCCCTGAGGAAAATTAAAAAAAAAAAAAAAAGTCGGAAAAATGGAACTAAAAGTGGTATTCAAGTAACATTCTAGCAAGGCTGTATCACTTTCGGTAAGATCACGCTTGCATACAGTAATCAAAGATAATTTCACAACTCCGTGAAAAGCTGGTATGTTTCTTCATACACTGTTAAGAATGGTCTTTCAACTGAAATTTCACAAAACACAACTGTTAGCCCTCTGTGTGCATGCATGAATGTGCAAAGCATAAAGACGGCATTGATTCACAACTCACTAGTGCTCTTTCAACCCAGTGTGTTGAACATTACACTTCAGTCACTTACCTTCTGTTTAATATTCAAGTTTCCAGAAAAGTGGTTTCATAATCCACCTTCTATTACCTGAGTTTTAGTCCATGGCCTGCTCCACAGTACAGTGTGCCCTGTTGTGTTAGCTCCCTCCAACTATAAATGGCGTAGACAAAAGCAAATGGACACTAACAAACTTGGTTTACACCTGAATTAGCATGTGCTATAACTATGACTTAGCTATACTTTGATTATAGAATAACTAAATTTTAATATTAAAATAAATTATTAATTAGGATATTATTTTAGATGTTTTTGACTCTGTGCTCAGATACTAAATTTATTTAATGTATTAATTTAAACACTGCCTGGAACTGTGACTTCTTTCTTTACTCCTTGCTCCTTATCAGAGAAGGGTTGCAGCATCTGATGGACATGTAGTAACCACAAACCCTTTAAGCAAATCCTGCTAGTTGGCAGGAAACTCATTCCTGATCAGAGATGCTCAGCCTATGTCCAACTGCAGCTCCCTGAAGATTTGCACTTTATTAGGTTACATATCATAACAGGCACTTATCTGTACATAGAGTCTATTTTTCACATTTGTGTAGACATATTTGCTTATGGCAAACTATTTGTGCCAGAGTCTCAGTACTTGTCTGCATTGAAGTTGTCTTAAGGGAGCGTTAGGTTGGATATTAGAAAAGGTTCTTCACCCAGAAGGTGGTTGGGCACTGGAACAGGCTCCCCAGAGAAGCAGTCACAGCACTAAGCCTGACGGAGTCCAAGAAGCATTTGGACAAGACTCTTGGGCACATGGTGTGACTCTTGGGGATGGTCCTGTGTAGAGCCAGGAGCTGGATTTGATGATCCTTGTGGGTCCCTTCCAACTTGGCATATTCTGTGATGGCACTCCAAGAAGCCCTTTTGGAATCACATTAATTTCCTCTCCATGAAGACAATTGTGTGCAAGGTAAGAAGAAAACAATTCCTTGAGACTCTTCTTACCCAACTGGAAATTCTTCCTTCATAACTAGCTAAGGAGAAATCCTAGGGTAGAGCAATAGTGATTACCGGAGCTTCAGAGGCATTGTCAAAGCTACCTAAAGTCATGCACAGTCTGCCCATAACCTACTAACCTCACTCCAAAACAGTAAGTCTACTACCTGAACCTTCTTTTTAAATACATTTAAATGGAGATTACCAAACACTGGCCATTTCACCTTTGGGGAACCCACCTTGTAACTCATTCAGTGGATCCTGGTTTGCAGAGGGGACTGATTTTCCATTCCAAAAACCAACTCTATTTTCAGTTTGTTCAGTTGTTATTCCTTTGTCTCCATCTTTCCCCAAAAAACCACAAATCACAAGCTACCCCAAGGGGCACAAATCTGCTATTTGCTCTTTGAAACCCAACCTCTTCTTTTAATGATAAATTAAAGACTTGAAAGTCACAAGCATGGCTCAGTCAAGCAATATAGCAAGCTTCTGTACTTGGAAAAGATTCTTGAGGTCTTAATTTTTACCTTCTTTGCAGCTTACGGCAACTTGTAAAAGGCTATTTGGCATAATGCTATGGGAATCTTCTAAAAAGAAATATGAATACTAAAGAACTTAAAGCAGACTACATGTATATCTTAAAATAGGTTTCTAACTAAAAGGTAAATATTTGCTCCATGAGATATTCTGAGAAACAGGCAGGCGCAAAGCCCAATTTTTGCAGAAGCTTCTTTCTTGAATCTTTCTAGAATCAATTTAACTAGAAGGACTCTTGAATCCTGTGAGCTTAGCATCCAAGACAGCTTGAATTACAGAACATCTATGAGATATTTCCTGTAAGAGTGTCATACAATCCAGACCTGCAGAAACTGCCAAAACATCTACTCCAGAGTTCCGATAGCAGTCCTCTAGCCAGTACAGAGCTGGCTACCACCTATGTATCTAATGCCAGCTTTGCTTAGACCTAAGAACATATATAGCCTGCAGGTAAACTGTGATAGCGAGGTGCCACAGCAATACATCTCTAATCCACAAATCACCTTTAAATGCTAACTTTTACATTATGACTTTGACATATTTCCTCTTTTAAAAAAAATGTTCACTATCACCCTGTGGGGGAGAACTCACACTTGAAATTAGTAGATCAACAGATGACAAAATAAGGCACCTTTGCATTAACCAGTACTCAATCATCCAGACACAGACAGGGAAAAAAAGGAAGGAAAAAAATCACAACAGTGTATATACTAACTGCAGGGATGTTAAAAGCAGATGATTATATAGACCTCCATTTCTTCAGGGCTGAACACCACTTTTCTTTTAGGCTTTCTACAGGTTGATGCAACAGCATATAAACATTTTGGGCATTATTAATACAGAACAAACTTATTCTCACATTAAAGTGGATGGAGACTGGGAGGAGAGGGGAAAAGGAAGGCAAAAGTTACTGGAGTGGATCCAGTTCAGTTTCATTATAATGAAGACAGGTGGGAGCTCCTACGGCTTATGTGTAGCTACCCTGCACATCAGCATGTTGCCTACCATCTGTCATCACATACTGCAATGAGCAGAGAACAATGAGAGCCTTGAAATATGTCCCAAAATGAAGAATAAAAAATGATAAACAGGAGAATGGAAATTAGAACAGATTCAATTAGATGAACTCCTCATCCTTGCTAAAAATGTTTAACTGAAAATCTAATTAAGGTTGCTGTAGACTGTGTTCCCACTGTATTCTTGGAGAAAATGAATTGCCATTGTGTCATTTCCTGTTCTTGTTACACACTCAGACAATTAAACCTTTAGCATTTCCATGCTAGAACTATAAAACACCTGCAGAGATACCTTGGAATGTTTGATTAGCTTGAGCACCTTCCACACTTCAGTTTAACCTGCCATTTAAAAGCATCATCTGATAGCATGAGAACACAAAAGGACATGGTAGACAACTCTCAGGAGAATGGAAGAAAATGATGTAAATTCAGTCAGTCCCTTCTAAGGTCTACCATTAAAAAACTGGATTGAATAAGGACACACAAGAGAGAATGCAGACCAGAATTTGGTCTCAGAGTGCAATGAAGTAAGGGACTGAGATTTCCTCTTATACCTTACAGCCATTTTATAATTCCACCCTGTTTTGAGTGATCCCACACCATTGGATCTCATTGCTTATTGCACCGTCTGCTGTTCTGTACTGTTAAGTTACAATTCATTGAGGTTTTGTAATGCTACACATGTAAGACATTCTACATAAGTGATGTTCTCAGATTAACCTGGTGCACAACAATATACTTCAAAACACGGTTAAGAATGCTTTCCATTTACATAATGTATAGAAACTAGTTGCACACTGGAACTCTTAAATTGCACGCAAGTGTGGACATACATACACATACAGTTTTAGGCACAAATGCCAACTTAACCCTGAATGAGATGAGTCAAGTACAACACAGAGGGAGGATGAAAATAAGGGAGAACCTTTGACTTACAGAAGGGGAAGCTACCTGCCTAGCGTCAAGTAAAAAGCTCAGAGACAGAACCAAGCGCATAATCCAAGATCAGGCTGTGCTTCCTGAGCTACCCATGGCTGTCAACTTTGCAAATGGCAGAATGAATCATGAGAATAAATAAATAAATAATAAATAGCCTTTATATTCAGCACACTAGGTTACAATGACCTTTCTAGTTGTCTGAGTTTGCCGTGGCTCATCAACCTACCACTTTCCCTGCAGGTCTGGAACACAGGGTGCTATGACATGTCAGCCAAAACAGACTGTCAAAAAGGTCAGAGAAAGACAGATTACTATTTGTAAGTAGAAAAATCATAAAAATTTTTCTATTCTAAATGTAGTGAAGAAAGCCTTTAGTGAGAAGAGAATAATGGCTCATTAATTCATGATAAAAACTGTAATGAAAATAGGAAATGGCCCAATCTTAACTCCTTCTTGTTAGTACCCGGAACACAGTCTCATAACCTACCTTCGGCTCCTTGACTTAGGGAAGGGGGCACAATAGATGAGACATTTTTCCCTTCATGCAAATGGTGATAACCATCTTATTTTTAATCCCATTTCTGAAAATTAAAGATTAAAAATAAGACATGTCTCTGCGTTATCTTCCCGCTGAAAGGTACACAGGCAAAGCAAAATTCAGAACTCCAGGGCCTTATCAGCATGCAATTTGCGTACCATAGAGCAATTCGCAACCCAGTCAAAGAACAGATAAGAATTTAATTTGGTGCTGTTGCCATTTTCTGATACACTGTTTGTTAGGCGGGATAACAGTCACAGCCAGAGTAACATCTATGATTGAAAAGAGCTTCTCCATCTTGGTTGCTTAAAATCAACAAAGTAGCACAGTGTAACATTATTAGCCTCACTTACTCAAGAAGAGAGTAGGCCCGTGATGAAAAATAAACGGTAGAGATGAATTCTCAGAATTCTGGAGGTACCCATAGCTGTTACCCTTAAATAAACCAAACAGAAGCAAACACTGTCCTTATACAAAAGGGGATGATAATTTACGTAAAACAAATTCCAGTGCTGTATATATGAACACATGTACATATAAAAGTAGAAACTTCCTGTGCGAGCTTAGAAAACACTGATAAAAGATTCCACTAACAACTTTATGGTTTATAATAGAAGTAGTTCAACACTTAAACCAACCTGCCTTTGGAGGGAAGTATATGAGTTGCTCAGCAGAGGATGTTTA